TCTGCTGCCTGCCGTCCTGCCTCCCACTGCTGCCGCCAAGCTCGCCAGCCTCCCAGCGCCCCGCCCCGCCGCAACGCGGCTGCCGTAAAGCCCGCCTTGACCTCTCCGCCTTCGCGACGCGGCCGGGGAGGGAGGCGGGAATCCAGAAAAGTGTGGGATGGGGCGGACGGGGGAGGGGAGGGGAGGAGGAGGAAGGGCGAGTGAAGAGGAGGGAGGAGGAGAGCAAAGAGAGGAAAGGTGTATTGATTGATTCGTTTAATAACAAGTCTGTGGAGGATTCCGCAATGTCATTTATTCCTCCAGCAGGCGTTTATTAAGCGCCTACCACGCGGACACAAAGATGCATGAAAATACAGGTCTTTGCCCTTAAGAAACTCTAAAGCTAGGACAGCAGACTGAGATCTAAGTGCATAGTTCTAAAACGTATTTTCTGAAGTAGAGGTTGAGGCTCAGAGAGATTAATTTACTTGCTGTCCCGATGTTTTGGGGTGAAAACCAAATTCATTGCCCTGCCTAATTTATAGAACCCCGCTCACTCTGGCCCCTGTCTTTCTCTCTCTCCAGCCCTGCCTCCTGAGCCCTTCCTACTTATACTCTGCCCTCCCAGCCACATTGTGACTTTGATTTCCTCCAAGGCTCTATTCTCCTGCCTTGTAAATAGTTTTTGCTCTACTTGGGCTCTTTCCTAGCCCTGGCATACTCCAGCACCTAGTGCAGTGCCTTTATTGGACTTAGGATCCACTGGATAAAATATTTGCTACTTTAATGGCTTAAGGTCACATAGCTGATGAGTGATAGAGGCCCAGAACATGAGGATGAGTTGGAAGAAGAAGACAAAATGGATACAAGATTGGCATCTCCCTATATACCCGACTCCCCATCCATGGAATAGGGAGGGGCCTCTCTTCTACTGTGATGGAAGGGAAAGGGGAAACAGGATGGCTATGGAGGCAGGTAAGTAGGTAGGGGTGGTGGCCAGAAAGTGAGAGAATAACCAGCTGAAGACTTTTCTCTGTAAAGGAGGAGGAAAGGTAATCTGTGGAGAATGAAGAGAGAAGGTAGAGGAGGGGCAGGGGTCAAGAAACGTAGTTGTATCGGCTCAAGAAAGCCTAAATATCAAGGCTTAAGGGTTCATTTTTCTCACAGGATAGGAAACCTGGAGGTCGACAGCTGCAGTGGTTCAGTGACTCAATGATATCAGAGCCAATATTTCTGCCAATCTTTCAGCCTTTCCCTGAGGGTCACAGTATGACTGGCTGCCTCTGTTCCATGCATCATTTTCTTGTTCAAGGCAAGAGCTTGCCCAGAAGAGCCCCAGTACATTTCTACTTACATCTCACTGGCCAGAACTGTCATATAGATGCAAGAAAGGCTAGGAAAGTGAGTATTTAGCTTTTGTCACCTCTTAAAAAGATACGATTGGTGGAAAGGGGAATAGAAATGGGTGTTAGGTGAGAAATACATGGTGGCTACTACAGCAGAAAAGATTTGAAATAACCATTGCCAAGGTGAAGCAAGTTCAGTAAAGAAATGATGTAGGATTGCCATGATGTAGGTGGTGTCAAGGATTCTGTTGAAGTTGGAATAATGAATTGATTAATTTTTCTGTGTTACATTTCCTTTCTAGTAGTGCTCAGGTGTAACATTTTATTTTCCAAAGATGGACATGACAGTATCTCTCATCTTGTATTTTCTTCTTATGATGTGATCATCTTATATTTTCTTCTTACATGAAAAGATGCCCAATCATTAGCCATCAGAGAAGTGTGATTTATATCTCAATAAATCTATTTTAAAAAATTTTAAAGTTTACGCTGACTGCTAAGTGTAGAATAGGTTTTATTGGGAGCAAAAATGGTAACATGAAAATGTTTAGGGGCTACAACAGGAGTCTAGATGAGAGAAATGATGGACTAGAGAAGTAGCAGTTGAGACTGAGAGCATCAGGTGGATTAGAGAGATATTCTAAAGAGTCAACAGCACTTACCAATAGATTGGACTTGGAGAATGAGTTAAGAGAAAGGAAACTCAAGGAACAATATACACTCGACACATTCCAGTAACCAATGTGTATTATGTCTCTCTGTTACACCAGGAATCAGACCCAAAGTCCTAATTCTAGGAAGGAGGGGGGTCTTCTACAACACCCTCCCACATAGATCCACCAAACTGTTGGCAGAGCACTCTGCCAACAACTCTGTTCACTAGCCCAATCTGCCTGAACTACTCATTCCCTACCCTCCTGCTTCTTTTAAGAGAATCACTTCTGGAGCAGAGAATTCCCACAGTTTTCACCAACCAGCCCTTTTCCTCTCTGCCGTCACACCTTTTGGACTCTGCACAGTTGCCTTGGGATCTGGCTCACAGTGTGGACTCCAACTTCTCTCTCATCATTCTGAGATAGACTTTGCACCTCTATTGCTCACGACTGCGAATGGCTTGAGACATTTCCAGTACTTAATTCTAAATCAGGATAGGGTGGGGTGGATCTTGAGAGAAGGCCTCGACCCGCAGGGCTACTCAAAAGAATGAGTCCGTGTATTGATTATTGCTGGGTGTCAAGAATCTTGCCAATGATTGCTAATATTCATTGAATACTCACTTTGTGCCAGACACTCTTCTAAGTATTTTATGTGTACTGAATCATTTAATCCTCACAAAAATGCTATGAGGTATTATCTCCACTTTACAGATGAAGAAACTGAGGCATAGCAGTGTGACTGAGGACACACAAGTAATAAATGGCAGCTTCGGGATTCAAACGAGGCAATAAGACTCAAGTCTATAGTTTAATCACTATTTTACACTGCTACATGTCAGACCTCATTTCATCCTTTTAAAAGACCTTAGAGATAGAAACTATTAGTATTCATTCTCATTTCATGGATAAGGAAACTGAGGTATGGGGGTTTTAATTAACTTGCCCAAATTCATACAGCTAGTGAGTGGCAGTTTCTCCAAACTGGAATTTTATGATTGAAAACATTTATTTCCAGCCTTTAACTAGAACACAAATGCCCTACCTGCACGTTATTTGCGAAGACACCTCGATGTGTTCTAAGACCCTGTCGTCACCACGTGGCCACTATGAGCAAAATATCTGTCTACCTCCAGGTTATTGCCTAATTCTCTTCTACCAGAAAGAACAAATCAGTAAAGGGATCTACCTTGGTTGGTTATAAAAACTTCTACAATAAAAACCACATCCCTCAAAACACTAAGGTACTTGTTTGATATTTGTGACCTGTTTTTTCTTTTTTTCTTTAGGCATGTATATATTCTTCAAATTTTCCCCTCATCATCCATTCTTGGTTGCTCAAAGAAGCCTATCACACCTTATTGTTTCTGGCACATCAACCGATAGCAGATAGTGCTCCATCTGACTCATTTTACCTGAACACAAAAACTCTTTTCATTCGGTTTCTTATTTCTTAGGCTAGGATCATGTGCATATGTATAATGCAATGCCTCCTCCCTTTCCTGCTTATCTTTCCTAAAATCTGATAGTGTTTTTTTTAGTCCCATTATATTCTAGGTCAGTTCTTCCTCTTCATTTCCAATGTACCTTGTACCCATTGGGTTATCAAAACATTTTAGGTAATTGTAGCTATAATTTTAAGAGCCATAATTTGCCTGTTGAGAAACTTGGAGGTAGAGATCATTATGTACAGGAAGTCCTCACTTAATGTCATCAATAGGTTCTTGGAAACTGTGACTTTAAATGAAATGAGATATAATGAAACCAATTTTACTATGGGCTTATTGATATAAACAAGAGTTAAGTCCCTATGGTATATTTCTGGTCACGAAAACATCATCAAACATCTAAATAAAGACCTGAAACACTTCTAATATTAAGCATTAAAATAAATGTGAGCTATACATATATTTAAGAAAGATGAACAAAAACAAGTAAGATAATCATTTTCCAACTCTCGTATTCCAGTTCAGGATCATGGGTGGCTGGAGCCTGCAGCGGACAGCTCAGGTGCAAGGCAGGATCCTACCCTGGACAAGGTGCACTCGCACACACAGCCACACTCACTCGGATTGGGACAATTTAGATGTGCCAATTCACTTCGCATGCACATCTTTGGGATGTGGGAGGAAACTGGAGTATCCAGAGAAAACACATGCAGCCATGTGAGAAGGTGCAAGCTCCACACAGACAGTGGCCCCAGGCAGGGATCAAATTTTTTTTCTCATCAATGTTATAATGACACGATGTTCTTTGAGGACCTGATGTACTTTGATTACCAGAATCTGACCTGGGTGAAACTACAAAATAGGCTAAAGTTTGTCCTTGGCAAGCTCAACTTTATGCTTCTTCCTTGGCTCCAGAACTTTCTCTCCACCTGTTTTTCTTAGTTCTCATGTGCTCTTCCTTTCCTTCCTTGCCTTTTCAAAACCTGCTCCCAAGAAAGGATCTGTACTAATTCACACTAAGGTACTAATGACTGCTGAAACTCAATATTATCTCTCTTAGGGTATTTGCATTTTAATAGGGGTTAAAGGATTAATCATCAGTTATAGAGTTCTAGGCCTAAGGGAACTTGGTGGGGAAGGTAAAATTTCCCAAGAAACTTCTGGATTGACATAAGCCTACTTCACCTACTCTGTTGACATCCCAGCAGGGATTTATTGATCTGTCCTTGACATATACCTGTTAAACACCTACCTTGGTAATTAAGTTGTTCTTTTCTATTCTTTCTCTTCAAGAAACTCCTGGTTTTCCATGGAAAAATTGAATGTCTTTCTTCTTGGAATTCCACATCACAGTGTGGAGAAATCTCAGTCAAGGCTAAGAGTATAGAGTCAGCTTTTAAGATACAAAGTGGGTGCAAAGCATTCTGAGAGTGGATGCTGCCAATGTCAAAATCGTTATAATATTGTGGATATGGTCAAAGTCTTTTAAAGCCACTTGAAACAACTTTGTCCCACTCACCATAATCAGCATTAGAACAATATTGGACATGGACTATTCATTTCATCAAAAAACAATCGTCAACACCTACTGCATGCCAGACATTGTTCTAGGTACCAGTGGTACAGCAGGCAACAGGACAAAGGGCCTAGCCCTATGGAGCTTACATTCTAGTAGGGGGTGGTAGACAAAGAACATACAAAATGTATCCGGTGTTGATAAATCAAGCAGTGGATAGGGAGTGTTGGGAAGAGGGATGGGGAATTGGGGCATGCAGTGGTTGCTACTTTACACAGGGTGGTCAGGGAAAGTCTGTCTTATAAGGTGATATCTGAGCAGATGAATGAAGGCGTGAGTCATGTGGACATCAGAGGAGAATACTCAGCACAGGTAATGGCAGGTGCAAAGAACTAAATATGAAGCATGCTTGCCCTGTTTAAGAAATAGCATAAAGAATAGCACTTCTGGCAATCAATGAATGAGAGTGGATAGGAGCCCACAGGACTAGATTATGTGAAAAGTGATTACAAGGATCTTGGCTTTTACTGACTGAAATAGGAAGCCACTGGAGGGTGTTGAGCAGAGAAGGGACACGATGGGACATGCATGTTAAAAGATCTGTATGGCCGATTTGTGGAGGAAGGCAAGAGTGGACTAATTAGACGGTGATTGCAATGACGGAGGTGGACGATCACGGGAGTTGTGACCAGGGTGGCAGCTGTGCAGTAGTGAGAAGCGGTCAGATTCTGAACTTATTTTGAAGGTAGAGCCAATAGGATATGGGGTGTGAAAGAAAGGAATCAAGGATGGGTACAAGGTAACGCCAATACTCCATAGTATACATAGTACTTTAAACTCCTCTGCTTTCTAGAGGGAAATTGACTAGAATGAAAGGTTGGTATGGCCAACAACCTCCTGGGCAGTTCTAAAAAAGGAGAGCTAGGCCATCTTAGTTATCTCAAATCTTTCATACTCGATGTTTTCTTGGACGTCTTCGGGGTCCACACACATCCTGGTGTGCACATTGGGACCTAGATTTCATGAACTGATATGAACATGACTAGACTCTGCCCCCTCACTCATGAGAAGCTGAATTAGTTCTCAATGGAAGTTCTATCTTTCCAATAACTACTTCGGCAAGACCGTCCCCCTATATCCCCCCAAATAACTCGTTGCCCCAAATGCAGTATCTCTCTTCAAGTCAGCGCTGAATATACTGCCTAACTCAGTGTCCTTAATACCCTTAATTTCCATCCTTTATTTGTCACGACTCTTCCTGTCACCTGAATTTGCTGGTGTTGAACCGTTCGGTCAGAACTTTGTTCCGGGAGGTAGATTTGAGCACGTGACGAGTCTTATTCTCAGGAAATGCTCCTGCACGACTAATTAGCCTCACGAACACAATTTAGCACCATTTTATCGGTTCACTACAGCCGGGACAGAAAGGGCTCAGCTGTCCGTTTCATCTCTCTTTGGTCACGGCAACCAACGCCAGGACTCCCTGCGGGGCGGGGGCAGAAGCCCCATAAAGCACTCTTCGGTTCGGGTCACCACGACCGACAGGTGTCTGAGAACCTTGTGAAAACGCGCGTGCGCCGCATCACGCGCCCACGGCGTAATCTCCCAGTGGGCAGTGACGCATGGTCACGTGACGCAGCCGGCCAATGCCTGGCGTCCGCGCTTTGGGCTCCTGGTTGCTAGGCGACTCCGGCCCGGCTGGGCTTCAGCCTCTTTCTATCCTTGAAGGTAGCGGTGTAAACTTCAGATCCAGCCCATGCTATTGGATGTGCCAGTGCCTCCGAGGGCTTTTAGAGGCTGCTGCTTTCTCTGTGGCGGAAGCCCTGGTGGCAGCCCCCACCCCTTTGCGACTTCGAGGCTTGGGCTCCGGCCCCGGGCCGGCTCCTGTTCCTCCCGGACCTACTTGGCGGCTGGGGTGCCGCAGGGCCGCGCTGGTTAGCCTGGTCCACTTACGAGTTCCCTGCCTTGGCCACCGCAGCTCGACAGAACCGGCTCAGACTGTAGTTTGGGCAGAGGTGTGACTGCAGCGGTGGCAGAGCGAGAAATTAGTGCCTGGTAGAAGTCGCAGGCGTGGCTTCCTGCAGCTTCCTTGCGGTTTCCGTAAAGAATTGGGATTGTCGCTTTGGCCAGAGAAGGGAAATGGGCAAAAGGGATTCTGTGTAGTATGCTTCTTTCCTGAAACGATTGTCTCTTGAATAGTAAACTGAAGGATAACAGATTTCAATTAAAAAAAAAAAAAAGGAAAGAAAAGCTATTCTGAGAAGTGAAAAGAGTCAAATACATTTTTTCCCCTAAAGTTTATAAATTTGACTGTTTTTTTAAAAGTCTTGGCTTTGGGATTTCTAATAACAGTGACAATCACTAGTGTGCCTGGGACTTGTATGTAGTTCACTATTTATATTTGGATTGCATTTCACTTATTTAATTCTGTTCATCAGCTATGTGAAATAAGGTAAGCAGGTTTCACTACCCTTTTTTTCATGCATAAGGAAACATCAGAAAATTATTTCCCAGACATCGGTGCTTCTCAAGCTTGAATGTGTATAGAGCAATCACTTGAGGATCTTGTTAAAATGCATTTTAAGAATTTTTAGGTCTGGAGCAGGGCCCGAGAGTTTCTGCATATCCAACAAGCTCCCAGGTGCACATGATGCAGTTGGCTTGATGCATACATGGAATAGTAATAGCCCTAGGTAATTGCTGTTCCTACTAAATAACACACTGCCTCCTTTCCATATTTTGCCAAAACAGCAATTTTTTAACATCTGTGAACTTTCAGTTACATGTGAAGGAAAGTCATTGGATGGAAATGACAAATAGCAAAAAGCAGGGAGTCCACATAGAATTTCTATTCAGGACTCATTTTGGATTATTTTGTTAGTTTGATCATCTGAGAATTCACAATATTTGAAATAATGGACTTAAAACTATCAACCTTCTGTTGTTAAATGGTTTTGAATAGAGAAGATGCATTTTCTTCTGACATTGAAGGATGTACTTAATTCAGAGGACCTGCTGATCTGGAGCTGACTCCCACTGACACACCAAGCATCTCCAGGCTGTTTCTTTTAAAAGTTTCTTCAGTGAGAACAGACATGCCGTTCTAAACACAGAGACTAAGCAGTGAAAACTAGCCAATTTATGCTCTATTAACAAGAGAAGCAATTTTAAATGATGTATGAAAAATTAGATATCTAGGAATCCAGCACAATGATTTATAGAAATTGATTTCATATATATATAAATTAATGAAGTAACTGTATTATCATTCATGAGAGATTCGAATGTCCCAAGTAGGCTCTTTGACTTGGGTATAGTATTGTGGTTTTCTTAATATTTCTTGTACTTGGGGTTCAATGAGCTGCCTGGATGTATGGGTTTTGTTTTCATTAAATTTGGAAAAATTTTGGCCAGTTTTTCTTCAAATGCATTTCTGTCTACCTCTCTCCTTTGAGATCTCCAAGTACACATGTATTAGGCTGCTTAAAGTTGTCCCATAACTCAATGATACTCTGTCCTTTTAAAAAACTTTTTTTTTCTCACTAATTTTAAATGTTCAATTGCTATGTCTTAAAGTTTACTAATCTTTTAGGGGGCAATATTTAATCTACCACTAATCCTCTCCAGTATGATTTTAATCTCAGAATCGTAGTTTTCCAAAGCATGAAGACTAAGGTGCCGTGTTCAGTTGGGGGAGGCCTATCTACATTGTGCTAAAGCTCTCTGCTTTGTTCGGCATTTTTAGTGGCAACTTGGATGAAGTCAGAAGAGCAGGTTTGTCGGGTGTTCAGTTGACACGGCGTCAGGAGATAGCACTAATAATTCAGCTGACAGGAACAAGATTAAAAGAGATCTAGACAGGTTAGAATAATGGATCAGAATTAACAAAATGAAATACAGCGTCCATAGTTAAGTTTAAGCAATTAGCTGCACCAGGTGAGGGAGACTTGAGTTCATGCCTAAAAAATGAAAGCAGTGATTTGGTTAGTTGTGCACTCACTATAAATTGCTAGCATGACATATTTGTTAGAAAAAAAATCTTGTTGCTTTATGTTGCACATATGAAGTGGTCATATCTAAAATAAAGGAGATAATTATCCCCCCCTTAAATTGTAGTCTCACGTCTAAACGTTCAATTATAATCTTTTTTTGTATTTCCCATAACTTTACTTAACATTTTGGACATATGGAACATAGTTATAATAACAGTTTTAATGTCTTCGCTGCTAATTCTAACATTTGTGTCATTTCTGAGTCAGTTCTTACTGACCTGTCTTATTATGATCACATTGTCCTGTCTCTTTGCATGCCTGGTAAGTTTTGACTGTATGCCAGATCTTGTGAATTTTACCTTGTTTAGTGCTGGATGTTTTTGTATTCCTATAAATCTTGAGTGTGTTCTGGGATGCAGTTAAGGTACTTGTAAATAGTTAGATTCTTTTGGGTCTCGCTTTTAAGATTTGTTAGGACCAGAGCATTTCCAACTCTAGGGCCGATTATTCTCCCTGAGGCAAGACCTCCACGAGTACTATTCCCAGTGTCCCACAAATTATGAAATTTTCTATTCTGGCAATGGGAATAGGCTCTGTTCCCAGCCCAGTGCGTGTGTGCATCAAGCACCGTCCACTCTAATCCTTTCAAGTGGTTCTTTCCCCAGCCTCGGTAGTTTTCTTACACGCATGTTAAGCAATATTTTGCTGAATGCTGGAAGGGGTCCCTCTGCAGGTCTCTGGGGTCCTCTCTCTCCCTGTACCACTCTCTTCTGTCTGATACTCTGTCCTGTGAACTCCAGCTGCCTTGGTCTCCCCAGACTCTCAGCTGTCTCCTCAACTCACAGACTCCACTCAGTTTCTTTCCCTCCCTCAGTTTCCTTCCCTGCACTGTAGCCTGGAAACTCATGGCAGTAAACCAAGGCAGTAATAGGGCTCGCCTGGTTCGCTGTTCTTTTCTCAGGGATCACTGTCCTTGATGGTCCGATGTCACTGTGTTAAACACCCATTTTTTCATATTTTTTGTCCCTCTTTTGGTTGTTTTAGTGGGAAAGTAAATCTGGTCCCTGTTTCTCTATCTTGACTTGTAGAAGCGGAAGTCGAAATACCCCTTACCATTCAAAACCGTTGACTATAGAAACTAAGTTAGGTTGCATACTATTGAACTTGATATTGAAATCCCATTTACTCCCAGAGAAGACAGCTATTATCTTATATGTATATCCTTACAGTTTTAACCAATAAATAGCCTGGCACTTGGCTGACACCAAAGCTGAAGTGGATGAATAAACTATTTTGAGCAAACAGCTGTCGATCAGCTTATGGTGTTTTCTTCCAACATTTGTTGATGGGCTTTTGCAATTTTCTTCTTGTCTGCCAGTAGCAAATGAAAGCTAGGCAAAATGGAAATTTCTGAAACTTGTTATTCATGATTATAATTATCCACAAAAATGTACCCTTTAAAAAAAAAAGCTTGTTTACAGGAATGAGGGGACTTTTGGGGATGATGGAAATGTTCTAAAACTGGGTTATGGTGATGGCTGCACAAGTTTACAAGAAAAAATCATTGAATTGCACACTTAAAATAGGTAAATTTTGTGGTATATAATAGAATATATAGATGTCAAATTACAATGTAAACCCAAAAATTATATAATTGTATTAATCGATGTTACCCCAATAAACTTAAAAAAAAATAAATAATAGAAAAAAATTTTACGGTATATAAAGTAAAGCAGATTTTTAGAAAAGCTTATCTTAAAGCACCTAAGTAAAGCAGATTTTTAGAACAACTTATCTTAAAGATTTCCAAGACATTTTAAGGTGAAAAAGGAAGTTGCCGACCACTTTCTATAGGCTAACCCAAGCTTTGATTTTTTTCAAAAACCTTATATACATTGAAATATAATCTTGATTTGATAGGTATAGACTACAGTGGACTTTCACTTTGTCCAACAAAGTAATCAGAAAAAATTAAAGATCTTAAAAGGAAGATTAAAAATTGGTGATACCAATGGAAAAAAGGTCTATTTGACCCATCCAGAAGGCAGTGGACAGGATGTTAGATTAGAAATCAGAAAGCCTGAATTCTAGTTCTGTTCTCTGAACTCTGAGCCAAGACAAATTACTTAGCTGCTGGCTTTCATTCCGGAAACCGGGTTTGAGTAATGAAGTGAATATTTGAAGCCTGGATCTAAAACTTCAGTGTCAAGAGTGGAGCTCTGAAGCAATTTTGAGAGCAGCTCTGGGAATTATGTCAATACAAGGGGAATCCTTTTATCCTCTTAGCTATGCAAGAAATGACACTCCCTCCTTCCCAACCAGTCTGACTGAAACCTCTGACAGGTAAGACCATCTCCAACTCTGGATGCTGCGGAGGAAGTTGCCATGCAATGTACAGTGACATCACTGGCTTGGCACTTCAGTTTCTTTATCAAATATAAATACTATATATTCTTTATTTTATAGGATAATTAGAAGGACAAATGAGATATAATGAGATATATATTGTGTTGAATTCAGAAGGAAATCGGGATGTAAATGCACGTTATGGAAACAACAAATACTTTGTCGTACCACCGATTTTATTACCCTACAGGAAATGTCGTCTCAGACCTGTTTTATTTGCGAGCTCTAGCTGTACTTCAAGCATCCATTCTTTCCCTTTCAAACGTGTGTAATGATGTTCTTCTGGTTTGAACTGCCAAGCATGAGTTGGCTTATAGATGGACTTGTCTAAACAGCATTTTCCCATGTGTCCCATAGCTTTGCAGCAATTTAGAACCTCAGTTTTAAGCTACAGTCCCTTTAGTCATCAATTATTGACTATTCGGCTTTACTAATAACTTGAGTCAGCTCTATTTTCCCAGAGTATATAGTTTATAATTAATAAGCCCTTGTGTTTGCCTAATGCTTTTCTCTCTGGGGACCAGGTTGTTGGTGTACTTTCAACCCAGAGTATATAGTTTATAATTAATAATAAGCCTTTGTGTTTGCCTAATGCCTTTCTCTCTGGGGACCAGGTTGTTGGTGTACTTTCAGCTGTACATCATCCTCAGGAAGTCGGGAGATGTTAGCTCCTCCAGTCACCACTCTGCAGAGGAAGAGCTACTCGGAAGCAGTTCACTTCCTTAGAGGGGCAAAGAGGATGCCACCTCAAAGAAATGCATAGGACACTGGCTGGGGCTTGCAAAAATCTGAACATTTTCTTCAAGAAAAAAAATAAATGGTGCAAAAGTTATGTTATAACCTTAAAAACGTTATAAAGATAGCCTATTTTATAATAAAATTGTTGTGATCTCAGGATGAAATCAGACTCACTAATCCCTAAACTGCATGCCACCTGATGGATGATTGAAGGAGAGCTCTCTCTGCTTCTTGAATTCTCTTCCTTAGCTGGTCAAACAAGTTTTCGGTGCCCTCTCCTGCCTTGACTTTGAAACTGCTTAACGGTGATATTCTTTAAACTTCACTGGGTGGGTCCTTCCTTAGACAAACTCACGCTCTCACCTTCCTTTCTCATTTTGGACTAGGGAGAGACCGAGAGGGTAATTACTTGGTGTCTAGCTAAAAGCGGGCAAATTAATCAGCCTCCGAGTATCCATCCATTCGATGAGCTGAATAGAAAGACGAAACAACCAATCTCATGTTAAATAGCACATATTCTTATCTTCTGTATTAAAAAGATAACTCCACGTAAATGTGTAAAGTATTCCCTGAGGCATCGCCGAGTGTGTAAATTGATGGGTAAAATAAGTAGAAGAGTGGAGATTTAGACAAACTTTGATACAAGTGTTCTGAACATGCTAAAAAATATCTGTAAATTTCTTTGGGGCCAGGGAAACAAGGAAGGTAAAGGTAAATGTCAGGTGTCTCAGAGAGGCTGGAGCTGCTGCAAGATCATTCCTGAGCATGTGCAAGCACAGACGCGTTCAAAATGTCACCTCCTTCTGTGAGGCCCTTGCATTATGCTCTAGGCCAAAGGGAACCCACACAGACAGACAGCTGAAATGCGCATGGTGTTTTCCTCATTCTCTTAGGCTGTCACAGTTTTTTGGCTGAAATAGTAATGTCCCCAGAGCTGCTCCCTACAGTTTCCAGAAGATCTGTCCAATCATTTACTTGCTCACCAAACATTTGTTATATTACTTGTTTTTTACCAGGCACTGCACTCAGAGGCTGGCTTGAAGGACAAAGCAGATATTGGAACTTGTACAGTTTACTAGAACGGTGCTTTCGACACTTTATTCTGTCATGGGACATGCAGAAAATGATACAGTTTGTGTATCCCACTGAGATGAAGCTGTTGGTGAGAGGAGCATAGATTTAGGGGCATCTGTACATGTTTTGGCAAAAAAAATTAATGGTATTTTCTACATATTGTATAATTATGATTTGAAAGATAAAATGAAAGTATTACAGACAAGATTAAATGTTGAGCTTATATAAAATTTCCACATATTTTCAAAATTTTAGCTTTATTCTGTGATTATAACTTTTTAATATCAGGTTTTATGCTTGAAATGGCTAATAATGTAATAATTATGTAATAATGACTAGGATTTTTTAAGGAGGATCTCTTTGAGATCTTCATAGCCGTGAATAATTAGAAACTCAAATAGGTAATAAAGATTTAAAAATTTTAACATTAAAAAATTTATAAAAGTATTTAAAGAAATGTCTTATTTTTCTTTCATTAACAAGTGTACAATTGAAATTTCTCATGATAACACGAATGGATTTTAAATCCAATCAAACTCTTTCATGTGAAGCATTTTTACATAATGACAGAGCTCTGATTTAAAGCATGTTCCTTCAGGGTTGGTATTGCCTTGGTATGAACCGGGACTCACTGTTTATATCTGGCTGGCATCTGTTCTGATTGGTCAACGTCTATGCCATCTCAGATGTTAAATATTTTTAATATCACCCTGCCCAGAAACATTGTTAAAGCAGTCACCCTGAAGTTAGCTTGGACACTGTTTGGACACCAGCCAAAAATGGACAGAAATGTCTTATACTTTGTGAAGACGTAATTGGGTTAGCCACCTGGGACTGCTCTGACCAGAACCACCCGCCCTCCCCTCGCCAACCCAGTCTCCTTGCCCCTTCGCTACTGACCAGCTGCACCTGGGGTGGTTGCTCTTCCTCCCTGAGACCCTGGAACCCACCTCCTCTAGCGGGGCCCTAGGCCCTCGTCTGTGACATGCAGCAGTGCACACTGCGGCTGGCCTCTGAAGTGGATATCCAGGTGGGAACACATGGCAATCAGCAGAGGCCTAGTTGGTGGCCCCAAGGGATCTTTATGCCGTGTCCCATAACACCAGCGTGCTATGACCACTGGTTGGGACACTCTGCAGTAGAGGACATAAAACAAGGATAACACTCCCTATTATTAATAATGTGTGGATTACAGTTCTCTTTCACAGTGGACATCATTTAATTCTCATCAGAACAACCAGTAAGGACTATCGCCCCATTTACACAGTAGGAAATAGATTCAGGCGGTGAGTTGCCCAAGTAAGGCCACACTTCCCCTGCTAGGACCCTCAGGGATGTCCACATTGGTGAGCTGGGTTCAACATACATTATTGGAGTGACAGTTTCGCTTGAAGGTTTCGGGGGAAATTTTAAGTGGTCAATAATATGTTTTTATGCTAAAATAGGTATGTGTTATGAAAGTAAATGACAACTGCACAAATTTGTAAGATCGTACATGACACTTCAAAGAGACGTTGTGATTAATGGAGGACTCCTTCGAGCTACGTCTCTAGACTTCTCTCTTCCGCCATCGGTGAGTGAGTTACACTGATTTAACCCTTTTCTGATTCCAGACCCCTTACTTATCCCAGGTAGAAAATTGTTCAGGTTTTAAGAGAGTTTCAGAGAAAGTAGTTTGAGCGCGGGCTTCAGCCGAACACCGGACCTGTACGGACAGGAGCTGGGGAGAGTGTGTTCCAGGCGGAGGATGTGGCATGAGCAAAGTTTAGGAGGCAAGAGAGTGGGGATGTGGGAAGTGGACAATGGCTGGAGGGACAAGTACCTGAAGATGCGTAATGGGAAATATGATTAGAAGATGTGGCTTCAGGAAGTGTTACCTGGCACACTTCCTGAAGCCACATCTTCAGGAAGTCTATGTGATGCTGGCAGCGAAAGCTAGAGCTGGGAAGGCTTAAACCAGGGGAGCGGCAGGGGAGAGGGGTGGAGGGCTTGCATGAAAGGAGCCATCAGGACTTTCCAAAAGATGGGGCAGAGGGCAGGATCCAAGAGGGAGGTGGCAAGTTGCCGGCTGAACTTGCAGCCCACCTGAGGTGCTGTCAAACGTGCAGGTGCGGAGTTAGCAAACAGGACCAGAGCCCAGGGCCGAGATTTGGTTTGTGAATTATCTGCCTCTAGGTGAAAACTGTCACCTTGATACTGGAAGAGACTGCCATCAGAGAAAGAGCCTCCGAGAGATAAAAGGACAGCAGAGGCACACGTGGTCAGAGGCCATCTGAGGAGAGTGTGACGGAAGGGACTACTCAGTAGTAGCAAATGATGAAGAGAGGTCGAAGAATTGTCACCTTGTGCCTGGCACATTAGGCACTCAGATATTTGTGAGAATAAAAGAAAAACCAGAAGTAACAAAATGATACAGTCAGGACAAGCAAAATGAAAGAAATAACGGTAGAATTTGGGCATCGAGGTGTTAAGAGAATAACTAAGAGATTGTTGTATTTGTTTCCAAAAATGGTGGGGACCCACGTCCTCCGCAGCCCCTTCCCAACACTGAACACCGTTCCTGACCACTAGGTGACCTTTCCCTGAGCCACATCTTCAGGAAGTCTATGGCGTGGGATTTAACGTGTGACTTTCTTGTAAAGGTTTCAATTTAATGTGAACTCGGGCCTTTTCCATTCCATCTCAACTTCTAGAGATTAAAAAATATATAATACCACCAAGTGCCTCACGTAACTTCATTACAAATCACATCTTCTTTTTCCCCTTAAAAATAAAGAGGACGCGGGTCAGTGGACTCTCCTCCAAGTCCATTTTTAGAAAGGTTATTTAGAAAGACTCTGCTTCCTGAGAATCCCACCCAGACATTTCTTGATCACGTTATTTTTTTTAAATGCATTTGTAATTTCTCTCGCTTAGTGAAAGGTCTTTTCCCTTTAAATCTTTTGGGTTACAAAAATATTACCCTGAATAGGAGAAGCAGCTGCCAAGAGCCTTGTGGGGGGTAGGGGGGTGAAGGAATGAGGGGGTGGCGGGGTATAGACACACCTGGACAGTGCAGTGGGCGTGAGTGGGGAGCTCTGGGCCTGGTTCTATTAAGCAAAGAAGCCAGAGACCGAAGTCCACAAGGAGGTGTAGGCAGAGAGCGGCTGTGTCCCTGGGGCCCCTCCCCTGCCCTTGATTCCCGGGACACCCCTGCCCTTTGAGCCTGGGGCTGCTCGGGCTCTGGCACATGTGCCCTGGCCGCCGCGGGGCCCAGCCGGGTTGGGCAGGCTGGCAGATGGGAGCCATGCTGCGGCTGCTGGCATCCCGTTGCGCCCGGGGCCCAGGGGCCCGTGGGGGCGCGCATTCTGCCCCCGGGCTCTGCAACGCCGGCTGCAGCTCCCGCTGTAGGGCCTCCTACGCCTCCCGGAACCAGCCCCCCAGCTCTGAGTTTGTGGCCCGGCCCGTGGGCCTCTGCTCCATGATGCGGCTGCCCGTGCAGGCCTCTCCGGAGGGGCTGGATGCTGCCTTTGTCGGGGTGCCCCTGGACATTGGGACTTCTAACCGGCCTGGGGCGAGGTAAGGCCTGAAGGACTCAGGGACACATGGCTGGACAGCTTGAGTGCCAGCGGGCACGGAAGACACACCAGTAAGCACCTTGCTCACCCGGGGTGGGGTTGGAAGCTCATGCCTGGCTCCAAAGCTCCCCCCGCCCCTCATTTGTGAGAGAGTTGATTCGCATCACTCTTCATTAAGCAACCCTGAGGGCTCAACCATTGGTAAAGAAAGGGGGTTCCGCTGCCTGAGCCTTCTCCAATCCCTGATCCCCAGTCCTTGCTGGGATTGTGGCTGGGAGGACCCTCAGTATACAGTGACAGGGGACATTACATTTGAGAGTGGAAGAAAGCTGGCCACCCCTCCCCCAAACCTCTAGATGTCACCTGACTCAAGAATTGCTCAAATTAAGGCAATTTCCCTAAGATCAAGTCGGAGGAAGTAAAGTTCATTTTCCTAATTGTTGAGCTTTGGCTATTCTTGATTCGGCTCAGTGACATTACATTCGACTACTGGTCTGAATGATAAATGCCACCATTTATTAAATGTCCACTAAGCACAAGGCACTTTGCGTGAATGACCTCACTTAATTCTTACTACAGGGTAAGATAAATATCATTATTATTTTACAGATTAGGAAACTGAGGCTCAAGGAGCTTAAGAGATTACCTGAGGCCACTTAGTAAACTGGTGATGGGGGGGGCGGGCAGCGCTCTTAGATCTGTGCCTTTAATCTCCTCTATGTGTAGCCTGGATCAGTGGTTCTCAACCAGGGTTATTTTGCCCCCAGGGGACATGTGGTAGTGTCCGGCATTTTTGGTTGTCATAACCTGGGGGAAGGGGTGCTACTGGCATCTAATGGGGACAGACCAGGGATGATGCTAAACATCCTACAATGCACAGGATGGCTCCCCATGACATCCAGCCCCAAATGTCACCAATGCAGTGGAGGCTGAGAAGCCCTGCCTAGACAAGACCTCTAAGCCTTTAGTGATGGCTCACAGGATGGTTCTTCTTCCAGATTTGGACCCCGACGGATCCGCGAAGAATCAGTGATGCTTCGGACAGTCAACCCTAGCACGGGGGCCCTCCCCTTCCAGTCCCTTATGGTTGCAGACCTAGGCGACATCAACATCAATCTTTACAACCTTCAGGACAGCTGCCGCCTAATTCGAGAGGCCTATCAGAAAATCGTAGCCACTGGCTGTATTCCTCTGACCTTGGGTAATGGCATCTGCAAGGGCAAGGGCAGGTCTCTGCCCTCGGGGTTGAGTAATGCTGGGCCGGAGTACAGCTACTTCTCCAGGGCAAGCCACTGTGACTGTGGAGACAGAAGGATAGAGAACATTATTAATTCATGTATTTTAACCCCTGGGGAGAGGATATTTAAATGTTGGGCTAGTAGGACTGACCGGGATGGACTAGAGTGAGGCGAGTGAGGCTTTGCCTCCACGCGAAATGTAAGGGGTGCGGAGAAAGTCGACAGTAACTATTACCGATTTTCCCCTTTTGTCTCAGGTTCTGATTTGGCTCAGAACATAGTTACCGGTCCTTTCTTTAAAATTTATCATGGACTTTTTTTTTTTTTTTGTATTGATTTTGAGTTTTAAAAAATTTTGGCGTCCCTTAAATTTGCATCATGCAAGTGCCTCCTCCTCCTCACCTTTGTCACAGCCCTTGATCCCAGGCCTGGGGAAGGCAGCCAACAGGGGCTCAGTGTGACTTTCGAACTATTTCAAGGACATCGTCTGGATGACCGAGAGGAGACCTGCACAGCAGTTTCTTCCTCATGGTCTATAGCAACCTATCAGGTGGCTTTCCCTCCAAGCCCCCACCCCCTGACATGCTCACTGCATGTCTTTCTCTTCTGGTTCACAGAGAGTTAAAATGATACAGACCTTTTTTCTAAATAGCGAATTTGTTTTTTTCCAAAGTAGAGGGCCTAGCCTGAAGAGCATAGCGGTCAGGAGTTCCTCGATGGCATGGTTTGAACCCTCAGCTCCACCTTTCACTAGCTATTTATGCTTCATTTCCTCCTCTGCAAAATGGGGATATTAATAACAGCAACACCTACCATGTTATATTGTGTGAGGAACATATAATGAAAGTGCATACGAAACGCCCAGCATTGTGCTCGGCATATTTTGAGCTTTAATGAATGTTGGCTATTATTGTTATTAACGGTTGTCAATAGCAAGACTTTTCTAGGCTGTGCTGTTCAATATGGTAGCCACTAGCCGAATGTGGCTATTTAAAATTAATTAAAAATTACTTATTATTTAAAGAATTATTAATAATTATCGATTTAAATAAAAAATGTAGTTCCTCAGTTGCGTGAACCACATTTTAATAGCTACGTGTGGCTGATGGCCACCATATTGGCCAGTACATTTATAGAACATGTCTATTATTGCAGAAAGTTCTATTGACAACACAGTTTGGGGTATTTTACCTGTTGGCTGTTAATTTAATTTCCTCTTTTAAATGACAATGTAATTGCAAACATCCGGTGCCCATTTCCTCACCACTGAGTAAGATCTTATTTTAGCTGGGGTTATAGTCCTTCAGTCTAATTGAAAGGGTAGCAGAATCGGGCACATCGAAGATCGCTCTGTGTAATGCACGGCCCCCTAATCTCATCCACTTTCTAGATGTCTTCTTTCTTCTCTGTGCAGGTGGAGATCACACAATTACCTACCCTATATTGCAAGCCATGGCAAAAAAGTGAGTCTCAAAGGTCTGGGCCCAAGCAAGGTTACAAAATTCGGGAGCTAGGGAGCTAAGTTGTTTGCTGCTAGGTGGCATCAGGTGACCTCTGCTGGCTCAGGTTGTTGGGGATGACAGGCATTACCAACTGAGTTGCTTCTGTGGGTCAAAACTAAGGTCGGGTTCCAGGTGTCTCTGTCAGTCACCAGCTGGAAGCCAAGACAATTTATTATTAACACTTCTGCACCCCGCCCCCCACCCTTGCCCTAGATCTGCTCTGGTATGCACGCTCAGCATTTGCCTCTGTTTGGGGAAGATGAGCCCCTAGTGAGACACACAACCCCGGTTAGCTTGTTTCTGTTTTGCTCAAAGGCCAAACGCAAATACTGACAGGCACGATGATGATACTTACTGAAGAGAGGCTCTCGTTTTTCCTGTAAGGGCCCCTTTTTCCCTCAGAATGAGAAACTGGCTTTCCTAGTAGTGGAACTCTACCAAGGATTGACTAAGTTTGGTTAATTAGTTTGGGAAAGAGACAGATGGGCCAAGGCGGCAGCAGCTCCAGAATTCATAGATTGGAAAGACGTGTAGGCAGAATTCTAATTTGGGGTGGGTGGGTACAAGTCTTTTTTTTGAAGCTCTGTTTGCCCAGCATGGTTTTGGATCGTATGTTTCTTTTGGGTGGCCAGCAGCGTTGATGGAGATTATGGCAAGAGAGCTGGGTCGAAGTAGCTTCTTGGCGCCACAGCTGGAGAAAGGGTGGCTCTGATTAGTTCAGCTGAGTTTATCCTTCATTGTCATCCTCCTGGCTCTCTCCATTTCTAAGTGAAGAAAATCCTGGGTGATATGTAGTGGGTGGCAGCTAAAGCACATGTCTATTTTGGGCCTGACTTCTCTGAGTTTATTGTTCTGAGATAATAAGTCATTTGAAGACAGAAACCAGTCACAAGGCCGGTAACTGATGCCAGGTCTCCCCTCCTTAGCTATGAACTGTCATCAAGTTTTGGTAGATTGGAGGGTGGCTGTGCTCAGGTCCCATGAGGAAGCCTGGCCTCTGAGCTGCCCTGTTGTCATCAGGCATGGCCCTGTGGGGCTTCTGCACGTGGATGCTCACATGGACATAGCCGACAAGGCCCTGGGAGAGAAGATCTATCATGGGACACCCTTCCGCCGATGCGTGGACGAGGGACTCTTGGACTGTAAGCGCGTAGTGCAGATTGGCATCCGGGGCTCGTCCATGACCTTGGATCCCTACAGTTACAGCCGGAACCAGGTGACAGACCCAATGCCCCTCCCTCTGTCTCCTGCCCGCAAAATGCCTTTCTCTCGATTGTCCACTCCATCCATGGTGGCTATGGATTCAACAGAGGCTTTAATAATCAGCTTCAGAAAATGAGGACAAAAAGCTGACTTTGCGTCGAGAGGGTCACGTGGAGCAGAGAGGAGCAAGGACGGTAGCCGATGGGGTAGAGGAAGCCTCTTATCGCTGGGGTGGGGAGACAAGCAGCAACGAACCAGCTCCTGGATGTTGCTGGCTTGGAAAAGAGCTGAGGAGGTTCAAACCCAAGGTGACTGGCTGCCTTCTTAGTTCTCATCCTCATACTCACTAGGCCAGGTGGCTCCCAGGTAAATACGTAGGACAAGACCCCCAACAGGCAGGACCCAAGTCCCCTGCTTTTAGAGCGTGCAAAGGCCAGTCTCTGGACAGAGCTGTTCGGGCGGTGCTGGCATGATCTGTCCTGAGTTTCTCACTCGGGCTTCTCTCTGATCCCAGCTCCACAGGTCACCGTGGGCTTTCTCCCTGCTTCTTTACCAGCTGCCGTTCCTACCTTCCTCCCCTGCAAAATGGGGATGACGGTTCCTTCCTCGTGAAGGCTGGCGGTCAAACGTGATGTGGACATAAAGAGCTGAGCTTGGGGCTGCCACATAGGGAACGCTGCCATGCTGAGGCCTTGCGCCCCCGCTCTTCGATTCCCACCTCCTCAGGGCTTCCGGGTGGTCCTGGCTGAAGACTGCTGGATGAAGTCACTGGTCCCTCTGATGGGGGAAGTGAGGCAGCAGATGGGAGGCAGACCTGTTTACATCAGCTTTGATATTGACGGCTTGGATCCTGCCTATGCCCCGGGGACAGGGACCCCTGAAATTGCTGGTCTCACCCCTAGTCAGGTAAGGAGGCTCCAGCAGTGACCGTTCCTGGGAGGGAGGATTTTTAACTCCCTACTTTTCTGGTCCTTGTAGTGAGTCTTCGGCAATCAAGGTAGGATTTTAAAAACTGAGCACTTAAGTCTTTATACTGTCCTCAGGGCCGACTGTAGGGTTGAATACCCCCTTACTGAGAAGTGGCTGATTTTAGCAAGTGCCCTCATTTATCTGGGATATCACTGTCCTTTATGTGATCTTTCTGTCTCTAGTCCACGTGTAGTTGGTTCATGGGGACGATATCGTACGACCCCTTCTTAAGGACACTGAACTTATCTTTTGGGGGTTAAATTTTAAAAGCGTGAAGTGTGCAGTTGGATCAACCAGCTACCAAGGTAGTTCAAGAGTTTTAGAAATACCCAAATACAGCTCCCACGGGGTACACTGAACGTAAAGCAGGGAGGCAGAATGGGAGCGTGGTTATAACTAGGAGGTAAATCCGGGAGGTCGGGCCTTTGTTTGGTTCACTACCCTCTCCTTGGAGCCTAGAACAGTGCCTGGCATGTAGTAGGTACTCGAAGATATTTGTGAGGAAATGAATGGAGACTGCTTATTTAATTATCCCATAGCCTCTAAGAAAGGAGGATGGTCAGGACCGCCTCTTTAAAGGCATCCTGAGTTCTCGTCAGTTTTCTGAAACACAGTCCTCATCCCTCAGCTTATCGTCCTTCTGGGCTCTTCACCTGCAGAATGAAAACGCAGACAAAGCGCCTCTCCCTACCATCCCTCTCCCTGACTCCGTCTGCTGGCCACATCTCACTACTGGTTCTCCCATCTCGGTGCCTTTCGCATGTGTCTTTCCCTCTGCCTGGGCTGCCCTTCCCCTGCTTGTCTCTTTGGTCACTTTCTTGAGCCATGTCCACCTTGGGGAGGCCTTCCACCACCTCTTCCAACGGTTTCATGTGCTTACACTATTCTATGCTTGCTTTTCTTGAAGCCCTTAATTTGGCACTGAAATAATTGGTTTCCTTGTCACCATCATCAAATCACACTGTGGAGCGAGCCCTCAGGAGCAGGGGCCGAGCACTGGTTATTTGTGTCTCCATGATGCCTGCCACTGTGCCCGACGGTTTAATGTTCACTGAGGGAAAGCAACAGTTCCATGTCAAAGGTGGCCACGTGTTGGGAGAAATCCCCGGAGGCCTCTGCTGGCTGCTTTTCACTAGAAATGGTTACCACTGTGGCTTGATCTTGGACAGGCTCTGGAAATCATCCGGGGCTGTCAGAGCCTGAACGTGGTAGGTTGTGACCTTGTGGAAGTTTCACCGCCATACGATCCTTCTGGTGAGTATGCAAGAAATCAGTGATCCATAGGCAGTGAATAGTTTAAATGATATTAATCTAGTTAATAAGTAGCAGATGGATGAGTCCTTTTGTATAACTCAGGAACCTGCGAAGTATGCCCTACAATGAAGAGAATAAACCTATGATTAAAACCTTACAAACATGAGCTAATGAACTCTAACAAAACCCCTGGGAGGTGGCTAAGTATTATTAGCTTGCTCATCCACCAGCAAGAGAAAAACAGCTTGTAGTTTAGTGATAGGGTGGCACAGTTCTTCTATCCTTTGATATTTCATTGAAAAGTGAGTTCTCAAAGGATAAATAATACTTAGTAATATTAATGAAGTGGGGAGTCGGCTGGTTTAGGAGAGCTATTCAAAGCAGATACCATCCCAATAATTCTAATTTAGAAAACCTTACAAATTTAGGCCTATTAGCCTCGGAGGGTAGATAATAAACACAATACGCACCGTTATGTTTTCCTTTCGGAGGAGATCTGTTCTCAGAGAAAACCAAACCTCTGAATGTTAAAATCCTGTTTCCAAATGAAGCTT